AGAAGAAGAAGAAGAAAGAAAGAAAGAAGAGAATATGTCATAAAGTTAGGGAAGAGGATGAAGTCAGGGAAGAAGAAGAGATTGGAAGGAGAATATGCAAAAAAAAAAAGGGGGGGAAACAAGAAAGGACTTTCTTGTAAATGGCAGATGAATTTATGAAGTTAGAACTCAGGAAGATGACAAAGTTAGGACTCAGGAAGATGATGAAGTCAAAAGAAAATGGAATTACAAAGAAAATTAGGGGAAGAGGTAATCAGTAGGCACAAAGCTTCCTGTTTCTGCCCTAATTGGAGTCAAAATTCCAATTTAAACCCTTGATGCTTCTATACTTTTTGTCATTTTGTGTCATTTTAAAAAAGTGATCGCTTCAACATCAAAGCGCTTTTATCGCTTCACTTCGCTTCAGTTGCTTTGGGACCGCTTCTTTTAAGTAGAGCGCTTCAGAAATTTTGAAGCGGTGGTGCCTCTAATCGGTTCGCTTCATCGCTTTAAGCGGTGAAGTGATTGCTTTTGACAACACTCGACATGTTCAGCTATCTGGTTATTGGAATCTGGGCATTTTGTGAAATTAATGGCATTTCCTATATTATTCAGGTCTACAGAGTCTCTGATATGGAGCTTGTCAGAGTACTTCCAAGTGCAGAAGATGAGGTAAATGTGGCTTGTTTTCATCCTTCTGTGGGAGGTGGCCTTGTCTATGGAACCAAGGTGGGCATTTGAGATTTATATTAATTAACTCTTGGGTTTTTGTGGATAAACCTATTAATTGTCCATATTCCTTTGTTGCAAAATGCAGGAAGGGAAGCTAAGAATTCTCCAGTATGATAGATCACTTGATGTAAATCATACCACACCTGTTTTCATTGATGAAAATATGCTTGAGGTACGAAGCCAAAGTGTTGATTTATTTTCAAATTTAGACAAGACCTACTTACAAATATGACCAAGTAAACTTTAGATCTGCACCCAGATTTATAGCTCATTGGTAAAGGTGCACATCTCTGTCCTTGAGAGATGGATTAGAGGCCCCCTCTCAATGGTAAACATATTTTGAAAGAAACCTTAATATTCAACCTTATGCTCCCTTCCTTCCCCCTACCAACTACCATGAAACTAAAGGAAGGAAAGAAAGAAAGGCTTTAGAATATTGGTTTATTTTCGTCATTGTCTTTAATTAGTGACATACTAATGTTTTCTTTTTTTTTTTTTTAGGTCCCAACATATGCTGCTTTAGAATGCTAGTAACCAACAAATATTACTCACTAATGAAACATACGGCTCGGCTGAGATGGTTAGTCTTCACTCTCTTTGATGCAGCTCCTGCCACTGGATTTTGTTTGTTTTTTTTCCCATCAGTTGGATCTTATAAAATCCATGATGGGTTTGTCATATACTTGCTATTTCTGTGCATTTCACATGGAGTTAAATGGTTTTTGAAAGAATGGTAAAGAAAATTCAGCATTTATTTACTCACCTCAGTTTGTATATTTTGTTATCCAGCATCAAGATCTGATACTAGCCGTGTTTATGTGCAAAATTTGCAGATTTTTTCCACTGACTATTTGCTGAACTACAAGAATTCATTTCCTTCCATTTCATCCAGTGGTCATAAACAGATTGCATCTCACTACTTAAGCCCTCAGCTGGTAGCTAAATGCAAATACAAGTTTGTTCTCTCTGTTGTTTTCTGGGTTAGTACATGTCACCTACATCATCTGGAATCTAGCATGGGAGATAGGTGTACATGCAAACCCCATTTGGTCTCAAGATTGGCATTCAAGCAGTCCTTTTTACACGAACAGAAAGGGATCGAAAGATTAAAAAAGAAAAAAAGTGTAGTCCCGATGTGTATCGTTGATGAATTGATATTGTTGTTAGATTTTTATAAAAATAATTAGATTTTCTCATCCATTGCTGGTCCAGATAAAGAGATGATTTGTTGTTATGTGTTTGCCTTTTCTACCCTATTTGTCAACTTGGAACCTTTCATGGTGAAAGTGATAATTCAATTGTGCAGTTAATCCATACAATCTCATCTTGATTGAAGGAATTGTTCAAGTAATCATGAATAGCACTCTCAATAATATTCGAATCCTTGAAAAAAATATGATGTTACTATCATAATTATCATGGGGGTTTCTTGATTTTTTAATTTAATTTTTTTTAAAATAAAGTATCTTCGATCAAGTCACATTGAATGCAACTAGCATTCTCTTTGCATCGTTAAACATTATTAATTTGAAGCAAAAAAAAAAAAAAAGTTTTGCCATCCATAAATGCACCATGCAGGTTAGAATTTAACAAAAAAAAGGACAAAAAAGGAGTAGGAATTAAAACATTAAGGACTAAAATAAGAATTTATTTAGTTTAAGAACTAAATTGGGGTCATGCCAAAGTTGGGGAACTAAAAATTAGAGGTTTAACCAATTAAAAATCTGTGGAGAGGACGAGTGACATAACATATTTTTGTTTCAATTTTGTCCATCAATCTCAAAAAATACTCTCAAACTATAAAATTATGCCATTTCGATAAGCTTTTCTGTATTGAAGTTACATAGTTTTTTAAAGAAAAAATAGAAAGGTATCTATTAAAACAATATATTGAGATTGGGACTCTAATTGAAACATATTTGAAAGATACAGGACCACGGAAGAAAACAGGTTTCTCTTAACGTAAAACGCGACGTTTGGCTGAACTGCAACGGAATCATCATCTCCTTAATTTGAATGGAGAAGAGAGCAAGAACGTGGCAGAATGGAGCTAAAGCAGAGAGCAAATGGCGGCCCAGCCCTGCCCTTGCTCCGGCGCCGCCCTCATTTTCCCACAACGCCAAAACTCCTATCATCACGTTCTCCGTCTTGGGTGTCTCTCCTTTTCTCGTCTTCGTCGTCGTTTATGTCCACAAGCCGCCCGGCAAAGTAGGAGAAGTAGAAGAAACTGGGACTCAAATGCCGAGACCGTCCGTACAGAAAGCTTCAGTTTCAATCCCCAATCCGATGATAAAGAAGAGGAGGATGAAGACGGCAGTTCTGGGAGTTTGGAGGAGGTCATTGATAGCCTTTGGGGTTTCAAGGTAATCTCTCACACCCCCATTTTATCTGAGAGTATAAATTTCTTAGTTGACTATACTAAATCAATTTCTGTTCTTTGATTCTCAAATGGGGTTGATAAACTGAGCGGATTTTTGGGTGAGCTGAGATGCTAAGAGAGTTAGTAACTTGGAATTTTTTTAGGATTATGTTAGATTGGATATGATTGGAAGCCTTTACATGGCAAGGTTTCAGAATTTCAATTATATTGCAGCAGCTCTAACAAGATTTTGGCATTTTAGACTTATGCCATGTTGTTGATCGAGAAACCTTTTGCAATTTTCAGTTACTTCTGACTTCTGAGCATTTCTTTTAATTTAATTAGGTTTGAGAAATTTAAGCTTTTGCAAATTTCAGGTTTTAAGCCTTTGAAATTTTAATATTGAATGTTCAGTTAGTGTTAATCTTCACGATAATTCAGAAATTAGTTTTAGCGCACAGGGTTTAAGCCATTGAAATTTTA